TACTAATGCACAAATCTAATACGAAGTACCTAATTAAAAAAAAAATGAATCGAATCAACTCTTAAGTACCATATATACAGACGATTATATCAACAAAGTAGGTCAATGTAATTTAATTTCGATTATGTAAAGTGATAATGGGTTTGGGCTTAATGGCTAGAAAATTACGTGAATATTATGGATGTTGTAAATATTAAAATGAAAGAGGTGATTACGATGCGCGAGGATATTTCTAGCATGGACCGTTTTCCTTTTTGCAATTATTTTTATACAAATTTTTGTAAAATTGATTTAAGACAACATCAGAGTGCGAGGATGTTTAAGGACGCCCCACTTGATCGACTTGCTGCTGTAAATTATTGACAACTTCTGGAGGAACTTGGTCTCCCAAAATTTCAAACAGATTTACCCTCTGGTTACCGGGGATGCTTTCATATGCACCTATTTCAATCCCTTCAACTACCTAAAAAGAAAGATCTCAAAAATATAGAGTTACGTTAACGAACAACAAGAAAGGATTATTATACCTTTTGAATTTGAGCATCTTTAGGGATAAGTCGAGAGTTATGGGCCTGCCGAATAGCTTCATTTGTGTATGATCCTCCTTCTTTTTGGGGAAACGCCGACACAACGGCCAAAAAGAAGAGACCAAAACAAAGTGCCACTCGCATTTTTATCTAAAAACAATAATAAATTAGTACATTTAAAAGAAGTACCTACATATTTTTATAACTCAACCTAAAAAAAATTTTACGTTAAATAGCTCGTACTAGTTCGTTTATTTTTTTTATTTAAATATTATGTTTTCTGTAAAATAAATGGGCAACACAATTTTAATGATTAATTTTAAATCGCCAAAAAAGCTGATATTATTTATAGTCTAAGAAAGCAGGAAATAAGGAACCAATAAACAAGTCTTCAACAATATTTCAGTCAAATGACTATAGACCTACGTATAATAGTACCCTTTAAAAATTGTCATATGACTGAATAATTATTGTTAAAATGGTTTCTTTTTCCGAAATTTTTAGTTTTTAATATATTTCATAAACCATCGATCTCCCACTAACTTCTTCTCAAAGAAATTTTTATAATACATAATTTATAGCTACAAAATATACCTAACTACGTTTGTAAACTACTCAAAGCCAATTGAAATAAATATCAACTTGCTTTTAGATGCTCTTTCGGTTTAGTCGGTGGTTTGCCATGACGTGCAGATGAGATCCTATAAGATTAAAATCGCGATCCAAATCTTACACTGCACTTACTAATTTGGTTACGAAACTAACACGTAAACCGAACATAAGTTCAAAAGATTTCGAAAATTCTGTTAGTTTAAAATATTTTCAGATAGACGAGGTTGAAGAAATATTTTCCACAGTTAGCAGCAGGTATCAGTAGGCATCAAATAGATTATTTCGAAACTTTTAATACAAAGCGTAGGAATATCTTTAAAAACTAGCTGTACTCGTTAGCGAAGAAAATCTGCAAGTCTTTAACAACTATTATATTTGGTTATGTAGAAACCAATGTTGTATTTACTAGAATAATATTTGACGTAATATATATATGTATATATACTTATAACGCTGGTCATTTTTCCTTATTTAATAATTAATGAACTAGTACGTAGTACTTACATTTACAAAACACTGTTTACACAAGTTTTACAAACACAAAAGAATTACACTAACGTTGGTGGACATGTACGACTAACTAACAGTCTGTAGATTAAACAAGAAGCGGAAAGAAAAAAAATGAAACTTACCTCAGCGATATGAAAGTGTAGAAAGAATCTTCGGAGCATTTCACATTTTCACCTTTATATAAGTTCCTATCCCCGTTGTCGTCTCGAAACTCTCCCGGCCCCCCTTTGGCTAATTATGACCTAAATTACGATCTTTGATACTTAAATGTTTGTATGAGGCAATAAAAAGATCCCACAGTCCTACTGAATTCACAGGAAGTCATGAATTCAAAACAATATCCACGTAAATGAATTTTCGTGAGAATAAACCTATTTATTAACGTTATTTGATCGGTCAAAAAAATATACTTATATATTTTGTAAAAATTGTATATTTATATAAGATGTTAGAATCGAGCGTAAGCAAGTTTACTTTTGTCCTAGTTTGACAGCAACTGTTTAGGTCATATTTGCACATGTATCGTCATGAAACAATATTAAACGAAGACGTTATATTATAAAGAAGTAATTGCAACATATTATGGTAACCACATATGTGCATTATTATGGTCAATATTGTGCCAGGGTCAATAATTATGCACGTTTATCGTATTAAAAGATCGGCACTCAATTATTATATTATATTCATTAGCATTTTATGTTACCGTAATGAGACACATTTAAATTAAATAATCGAATGCTCTATCGACCCCTGCAAGGATTGAAGTTAGTTGAAGTGAGTTTTTAGTTATAGTGAGCAAAAATGAGACTAAAAATGAATAAACGTATAGTTTTAAAGATAACTTTATGCAATAATACATAAACACAGTTATTTCAATGGCTAAAATATCAAGAACCACCCCAAAAGGGAACTTTCGTAAAATAGGGTAAAAGTATTAGGAAATATTATAATTTGCTTCGAATAAAAGTTGTAAAG